ACTCTTTACAATTGCCTGTAAACTGGCATAATAAACATATTATTATTTATTACACTTTGATTGGCTTCTCGCCTCCTCCTATTTTCATGCCTCCGAAATTCTAACATGCATTTTTCTTTGAAGTCTAGTTCGCTGAATTGTAAGGAAGTACCTGCATGCCGATGATAGCGTAGATAAAGAACAGCATGGCGATCAGGAGACAGACATAAGGTAGGGCCTTGATGGATTGAATAAAAGTCCAGAGCAGTATCCGTATTGTGTAGCCTTGTCGTAATAATTTGACCAAGCGAGCTGCTCGAAAGAGGCGCAGGAAGCCCAGGTTGAGAAAGGAGGAGTCCTTTAATGGAGGAAAAACCATGGACATTTGGTTGACTTGTAGTTCGGTGTACCTGACAGGTAGAACTTCAGATAATATCTAAAACAGATTGTATTTTCTTATAAAAAGGATAAAATTACTGTTTTTGTCATGAACTTACACTGCACACTTGGTCATCACTATAATAACCAATATCTTTTTTCAAGACTCCCCTGCGTCAAGGGTTTCCACCTTCCAATCGAGCAGTTCCAGACGCACGGACCCTACCGGCTGGTCAACCGTCATGCGCGCGCAGGAGCATTCAGACTGTAACAGTCATCCCTAAGCCACGTGAGCATGTCACCCCCTGAAAGCTATTGCCAGACAGAAAACTCGGAAAAGAGGTTGCCACCACTGTCAATATCGGTCTCACTGTCAACAGACGCAGTGGCTTTGCCCGTGATTGCTGTTGCCTTAGGCGGCAGCCCAGAGTTCTCACACGAAAAGTCTTGGTTACAATTTCGCCACTACCGTCGGTGCACTGCAGGATAAACATCCAAGCGGAATTTTTGTAGGTACGCTCGCATGTGACGCACAAAACAGGAGACGAGTGGATAAGGAGCACGCGGTATACCCATTCGCTGTTCCACTGCAGTCCCCCCACCTCAATTATATTGGTTGACAGAAAGGTAATATTAGCTAATAGATAGGTTATCCTGGGGAGGATCCAGCATAGAAGGGGCTGTGGACATGCCAACCCTCTTCAACCAAATAATGACCTTTGAGGTAAAGGGTCAGCAACAGTCCATTTATAAGGAGACGAGTTAATTGGAAGAGGTGAAAACAAAAGCAATGTTTTTGTTCATCAGTCTGTGAGACACAAATAATAATCTTCAAAAATAATTGCTATTTTTATGCCAGGAATAATGCCTCCCCGCAGATTAACATCATCACTCTGAACGAGGTAAGTCAATGGAGACGCAGACGCCTTAATGACAACCAGAGTCCATTAAAAAGTATCTTGCCTTTGTAGCTTGAGTGCGTTATATCCTTGGATGGCTTAGAATTCCTGAACTAAGCTGATGCCAACACTGTCTTCTCAAAAGTGCCCCAATAAAAGATCACGAGCGTCAAACAAGTTTCTGAGAAAGAAAATTAAAACATCTTTCGCTTCTATCAAGCTTTTTCTTAGAAAAATGTCAAGTTAAGATGTGAAGTACTTGTTTAGGTGTCTGTGTATGCTAAAGGCAACGTCACACTTTGAAAATTCCTTTGACACAGATAAATTGAGGATATTGTAAGCAGTTATTTTTACGACTGAAGTCAGTGAAATCCGGACACTTGATAGTTGGTAGGAATTTAAAGCAGATAGGTTATATTTCAAGAAAAAACCAGGCACTTTACCTAAAGGAATAAAACGAAATTACCTGCAAACCTGAAACGAGGACATCGGTGACGCTGCCAATGACAGTGATGCAATCAAAAATATTCCACCGATCTCGAAAGTAGTTCTATCATAGAAAATAGTGATATGATTAAGTTCCAGTAAATAAAAATATACGAATAAAAGAGCACAATCAAGGCTAAAGAGTATATTAAACAGTGAAGTCCTTTTTAATGCACAACGAATTAACATCACATCATGTTCACATGTCAACACCTTCTAGGGGAGCATATATAGCACTGCAGCCTGTAATACTAGGATACTTGTAGTTCAGCAAAGGTGTTGACGAGGGCAATACTGCTGAATTCAGTTTTCTGCGCGAATTGCACGTAGTTTACTAATGCAGTATACCTATTATGCCGAAATAATCGAAAAATTAACTTGGCTCAGAAGACAACCAATCAAATGCACATATGCTCTGATAAGGGAGTGAACCAAAAGCCTACCATCTCAACTGCAGAAAAGAAGGGCGTTCTTTCAAGACTGATTTTTCTAGGAGACGCGGCAAATGAAGTAGTACGAAAACGTCTGAAGACAACTAGCACGGATGCTTTCCCCTGGCAAAAGTGCGCGTATTTTTCACAACATCTCTCTTCGTAAGTTTGGAAGGCAAGGACTGACTACCCTTGCAGACCACATCGATACGCGTTTATGCATTCACTTGCTCTTGTGGAATGGGATATACTGATCTTGCAAGGAGGTGTCTGGGAGAGTACGCAAACACATACCTGCCTAGGGGAAATACTCGCGTATCTAATTCAAACAAACCACCAAGTCAACGCCAAAAAAGCCTTTCAGGTCATTTAACGGGCTCTAGAAGCCTGCATCTATAGATGCTAGCGCCAGTGGAATCGGTAGCTATTCAACTGGCAAACCCAGTCCTTTTTTGTCAGAAGAGGTTGCTTCAGTTGCTCTATCTTCCGTGGAAAACACGGACTTTGGTTGTGGAACGCACGCCATCTCAACCTGTAAATACCAGTGGAAGGTTCCGAAACTAAAATACGAATGTGCGCTCGTGAATTTTCGACCTGTTGCCACCAACTCCTCATCAGAATTAATGAAGGCAAGAGGCAAGTGAAGATTTTCCAGTAAGTCAGTTGGCGCGACAGGACAGGCGGACCATGGCGTGTGAGAGGACAGAGCACAAAGTTTCGGAACACTTTTGAGCGCAGGCGAAGACAGCGAGAAACCCCATGACTCCCTCTATTGGAGGGGGAGGGCAGAGGATGGATCAGTTGGTTTGCGGGCGGCTAGATTAACGATTAGCGATGGGGGATGAAGGCAGAAGTCCATAAGCCGTGATCGTGCACGCTCTTAATGGACGTCTAGACGGTTGATACCGCTCGCATTAGAGAATGGAGTCTCGATAAATTCCGAAAATTTTTACAATTAGCCTTGTTAGTTTTCATCTTCTAACTAAGACGATTAGAGAAGATAAGGTAGTACAGAATAAATTTAAATGCTCGAACGACGACTGGCCAAGCAAGAACTAGCGTGTACGGAAATTCCACAAAATTCTCATGAACGACTTGGTTTTAGAAGTCATAATGAGTTTCTAAGTTTCACCTCGGGGCCGGTCAGAATAGACGAGTACTAATATATTCTCTTCGTTTTCCTGAGCATCCGTGATCACATATCCGTGGCTATCTGTTTATTTTTGATGCTGTAACATGCTTACAGTACTCATTTTGTAAGTCCACGGGTGCTACAGATGGTGCTACAGATGTAGTGCAGCCTAGGGCGAACCAAAAGGCAAGCGTCTAAATGGTCGCTTACGTA